GATTGTCTGTGTGGACTTATCGATTAACATGGATTCGCGCTCAGCATGCAACTATTTCACCTCATCGTTATCGCTGACCATAGTAGGACCGGAGACTTGGACGATTTTAAGGGTTTTATTAGAATCTTGCCTGAGAAGTAAGGCGACTCCTGACGAGTGGGACTGAGAAGAGATGATTTGTGGAGACCTAAGACCGCAACGTTCTTCTGTTCTTCACCAGTGCCAAGCGAAATCGTTTGTCCATCCTTCTAGGCTAAGATGTGTTCGGTTCTTCGCCGTTTTCGCACACACTGAGGACGTCTCATTATGCTTTATCGATTTCCCGAAAAAAATGTCCGCGAGTTCATTCTTCGACAGCGATCTCCAATTGTAGGTGTATGTGCAGAAATCTGGGCCTTTCCGCCGCGGCATCCGTTAACACTCGAGATTCTTAGCAGCCCTTTACCTTGCACGGGGCCCATTTTTGTTTTCCCTCATCCATGTTAGCCCTATAATGCGTTCGTTTAGCGCATATTTGCATTTTTTGCTTGCATAACTGCTTGTTCTCTACTGCATTACGAACCGCTGGTCAGACTGACGTTGGTTCGTACCACCGAAGCTTAGTTAACAGACGTGATGCAGTACCTTCTCAACATGCTTGCAGTTGCTAGGGCTGCATTCCGTCATGCCTTGAACTGCCCTGTCAACATCACGGCGAGATGCCGGGATTGAAATTTAGCGACAGGCTTTTCAACGTGATGCAAAAATGCAAGTAAAGAGATGAAAGTAAAAATACCAAGCATATGGATGCGCGAAAAAAGCTGGACACTGATTTGTAGTGGCGGCACGCGCTGGATAGAGCATGCTTGTTGCTCCCGTCGTTGATTTTTCCATTGTAGAGTTTGCAGCTCAGCATCAGTGAATTGCGTTTGTTTCGCGCCCCACAGTCTCCTACATTGGCCTTTAACTTAAACAGTGTACTTCCTACATCCAGCGGGTGAAGTTATCGGTGTTCGCGAGGCAAAAAATGATTCATCCTCAGAAAATGGTGTGAGTGAGGTGCGCAACGAGGAAGTAGCCAGCGCAAAAAAGGAGTACTGTATTCAGCATGTAACTGTATCTCAGTAATATCATCTCAAAATTGGCAACCTTAATGAATTTATTACTCAAGCAGACAGCACGCTACTAAGCCCAGGCTGAAACGCACCAGGTTTACCGGTGCGGTCATGCGCTTTTGCATCAATCTTGAAGCAGCCAGGTAGTTAACTACATGAGTGTTTGCTACTTTATACCCACCTTGTGCGCTCACTACCGTGAATCATCGTCAGTTTTGCATTAATCAAAATAAACAGTTTCCGTCTAGCGGTTGACCGTCAAAAAATCCAAGTATGTAAATGAAGGATGAGGGCGGTCGTTCGCTGCAAAATGCACTCGTTTCTGATTTTTCGGTAAAGTTGAGTATTTCTCATGCCCACCAACAGGGAATTTCAGTTCCAAGCAGAATTAAGACAGCACTGAAAAGTAGAATGCTTCAGCAAACTTTCAGCCTCACGCCTTATCCGGAGCATGAAATAGCCACTTCGCTGCAAACACCTTTGAAGTGCCTTCAGTCATGGCGCAAGTGCAAATTGGGACTCGATTTAGGTATACGATTTCCCATTTGGGCGATAAATATGTTGACAAAATTTCAGCCACTATTTTCCGGCAAGTTTTCGAGCTAGCACAGTGCCAAGTGAGAACTTTGACGTGATCGCACGCGTTGCACAAGCGTCTGCGACAGCTGAATTTGAAATCTTTAGATCGCATATGCACAGAGAATATTCCTGCAAACTTTCAGCTTTGTACTTTGCATGGTTCACGAAACGTTTCTCGCCAAAGAAATTTGCATAGTTTTTTTGGGGGTCGTAAGCGGGGTCTAGGTGCTGAGCAAGAATTTTAAAACGGGAGGATGGCACACGGGGTGGGAACATGTACCCAAAATTTCAGCCTCCCAGCTTTCCTGGTTGCTGAGATGAAAGTGTGTGACAAAATTTACTTGCTTTCGAACACATCGACAGACGACGTCTTGACAATATGCGTTTTTGCTCGCTAGAGCAGAGCTGCACAGCAAAAACGTATAATAAATTTGAAATTCTTTGGCCGTCTCAAACAGTCACATAATGAACACACCAGGTTCTCCTGAAATTTCATTAAACTCTTGCTAATGCCAGTTAAAGCAAGAAAGAAGATGCATTTTGAAATAAATCATTGGCGACGCGCACTGGGGGGG